TGGATTCATTACAGGTTATTGGGACACAAATTGATGAGGACAAGGGCAAAGGGTCGCCCTCTCTGGGGACAGGCAGCAGCAGCAGCTGGAGGTTTGGCACAGAAAAGGCGTCTCCTGTCTTTAGTTTACCTTTAATGTCAAAAAAAGCTCCACAGATAATAATCTTGATATTCATTGGTGAAAGAGGCATGGTCTGTTATTTACCTAAATTGTGAAAATATGACTCATTCCTCAGCCATCATTCCCATGTGTTCCCTGGATTCTTTTGTGAAATCTGAGCTATGATTGGACTTCATGCCCCTGATGCCACTCACCCTGCAGAACCACATGTCCAGACTCCAGACATGACTGAAACCCTTTATTTCATTTCATTTTGTTTTTTTTTTTTGGTAGGTATTCCATGATGATGACATCATCCCTGGCTGGGAGGGGAAAATCGTGGCCTGGGTGGAAGAAGACCACGGGGAGAATTAATGGAGCTTTCAAGCCGTGTTTCTATGGAAACCTGTGACTGTCTGTGGAGCTCAGAGAGTGACCAAGGAGCCCAAGCGCTGGGAGGAGGCCAATTCAAGCTGCCAAAAAAGAGCCTCTGTGCAAGGCACGGGTGGTGAGGCCGTGTGCATGGACAGCTGGCACCCGCCTGCCCGTGCCTGAGGGCAGCTGCTGTCCTGAGGCTGCAGGGACACAAATGCCCAGCTTGGCCCTGCCAGCAAAACCCTGGAGGCCTTAAGGATGCTTTCTCCTCCATCCCTGCACTGTGTGCTGCAGGCTCAGCTGGGCATCTCCTGTGCTGGTGTCACAGAAAGCTGCACTGATGGTGAAAATGTGAAGCTTTGCCTTCGTGGAGAAGTTGCTGGACTGAGAGGGCTGAAGGTTGGAGTGGCTGTTGTCCTGCAGGAGCAGAGTGACTCTGTGGACATTGCAGGCTCACAGGACCTGTTCCAGGGGGAAGAGTCCTCTGGAGGGTTGAGACATGCTCTGAAGCAAAGCTCACCAACCTGGCCAAGCTCCTTTCTCCCAAACTCAGGCTCCCATTTCCCAGCCCTGCTTTCCCCACTTGCTCTCCAAAGCTGTTCCCATTCCCGAGGCCCTCTGGGTTTGCTCTGCAGTTGCAGGGACTGTGGGATCTTGGTGCTTGTTTGTTTGCTGAAGGATTTCATGGGTGGGGGAGCTGGAATCAGATGAGGTCTTTCCAGCTCCTGTCCTTGCTGAGCCTCTGTCCCCGCACTCCTGCTCTCTCTGCTGTCACCTCCTGTGCACAGGCACTGCCAGGGCCACCAAGCACTTACCCACAACAGTTCCTTGCTTTGCTGAGTCCTGAAGGATCAGGAAAGAACTGCTGGGGAAAGAACAAGCCCTAAAATCCCCCAGGGTGGATTTTTCCCTTTGGTTTTGTGGTTTTGTTTCTCTACATCGCCTGTGGGCTTGGGAGGTCGGATGGGCTCTGCTCCTTCCCAGCTCCTGTGGGCCTTCCATGGACTGTCTTTGTGTGCTGTGCATGAGGCTGGGAGAGGGGGAAACCTGGTTTTACTGTTTTATATTAACATGTCGTTTTGTAAACATGTTCTTGAAATTATTTTGTACCGATTCACATTTGTCTGAGGACTGTGGATATTTTTATACTAGTGCAAGTGCTCTCTGTATATTTCTGCACGCATTATACTGTGTTTTACTCCTTTCCTGGTGGATGCTGAGATGTTTTGTATCGTCTTCTGTTAACACAACACTGGCCTTGCAATTTTATTTTACTATGGAAATCCGATTGGTTGATGCTGGGTTTTATATCAAGGCTCTTACGTGGTTTTGTGCCACATTGGCACAACACAAGCTGCCTCCTGTTCTGGACAATTTGTGTGACTTTCTACTTACAGACAGCGGGAGGAAAGTTCATCAGTGAACAAGTTAATTAATGGGGGAAATACACCCCTTTTGGAAAAGAAACAAAGATTTTCTTTCTCCCCTGGACATAGTTTCTCTGTTGCATGGTCTCTAGCGAAGAGGGCCCGGGCTTGTGATACTGACATCGATTGTATTCAAATTGCAACCTTCTCACAAGTGTTTCATTCCTCGGGTTTTACTCATCAGTTTTATTTCAGCAACAGCCACACACCTGGGCTGGAGTTTCCTGGAGAAAATTACGAAACTTTTCAAAGTCTGTTGTTGCCCCACTTCACGTCCTTCTCTGCTATTCAGAGGAGCAGTTTGGTTTGGTTTCTCCCTCATAAAAGCAAAAGGAAAAATGAGTTTTAAGTGAGTTTTAATTCTGACTCCGGTGATTTTGCTACAGGATGAAATTAACAAGTATAGGAACAGCAAAGTAAGGAGGAAAGTTGGGCAGAAATAAGCAGTGTTGTAAGCAGTGAAATAAAGGGATATGGTAGCAAGAGCACGTCTCAGAACAAACCCACGCTCCATGGAAAATTCTGGCTTAGGTTGAGGTGGCACTTAGTATGTTTTAGTTTATGGCCTTTGCCACTGTCCTGTCGCACTGAAGGGAGAGCGGCTCCATCCCCTGAGTCCCCTTGGGTGTATTTGTGTGTTCCACCCCATCCACAGCCTCTCCCCTGGCCCCTCCTGGGGCTGTTCCCTCTCCTCCTGTCCTGTCCGTGCGAGCAGAGCCCGATCCCCGGCTGTCCGTGCTGCCGGGGAGCCGTGCAGAGCCACAGGGTGCGGCCGATCCCGTTTCCCCGGGCCCAGCTCCCCGTTTCCCCGAGGCCAGCTCCCCGTTTCCCCGAGCCCAGCTCCCCGTTTCCCCGAGCCCAGCTCCCCGTTTCCCCGGGCC